GAAAGTCCACTTAACATATAAGCCTTGGCCACTCCCAAGGAAAGCGAGAGTCTTGCTTTAATTGTATAAATTTCACTTAAATTTTATGTTTCATATAAATTTTATCATATGGAAAACAAACGTTAAGTAAAATCCATATGATTTAGGGGAGACACACACACATATATACAGATGGTCCTCGATTTACAATGAGGTTACATCCCAATAGCTCCATAGTAAGTTGAAAATAAGTCAGAAAGGCGTTTAATACACCTAACCCACTGAACATCATAGCTTAGACTATCCTACCTTAATGTGCTCAGAAAATTTACGTTAGCTTATACTTAGTTGAAGTCCTATTTTATAATAAGATTATAATAGACACAAAGCCTATTTTATAATAAGGTGTTGAATATCTCATTTAATTTATTGAATGCTGTACTGAAAGTAAAAACAATGGTTGTATGGGTACTTGAAGTATAGATTCTACTGAATGCATAGTGCTTTCACACCATCATAAAGTTGAAAAATCATAAGTTGAACTGTTGTAAGTCAGGGACTGTCTATATACTCACACCCCACGCACCCCACCAGAAACACACCTGCAGTTGAGCAAGTTAGATCTGTTGCTCCTGGCAATGAGGAAGGTTGCACATCCCAGGGACTGTGGGTATCTCATCAAGACTGTGTTAGAAAGGATTTACAGGATTTGGGCTTCTGTTAAATGTTTTAGGGAGATTTCAAGGAAGTGGGGCTTTGTTCTGGATTGGATGCTGGCAGGAAGTGGGAGTGAATCTATAATTGGCCGTCTTAATATATCTTATCTAGAAGGGAGGAAGACTAAATAGAGGCTAAAGCTGCATTTGGTGAAGAAGCAGCAGTCACTCATATTAACCAGAAGAGGAGGATGTTTGACATTTTCATGGTTTGCATAATGACCTTGCATTTGTCTGTTATTACAGAAGATACGAAGTGGTCTTGTTTGTGTCTTGATCCATCACAGTCACAGAATGACCCTGCTTGCTATCAGCATTCTGTGAAATTATTTATCTTCAACAGGAAAACGTCACTTCCTAGCTAGCAGTGCCAGGTCAACTCCTAGGCCCCCAAGCCTGGCTGATAAAGTGTCAGATGTCAGGGATCCATGTGTATATAAAAAACCAAAGCAACCACCACAAAATAAATTAGAACCAAACGATTCCGGATGAAGTAGGAGCCTTCTCTGGCTTTTCCCAAAGGAGGGTTTGCAAGCACTTTTCCAGCGTGAGTACTCCATGACTTGTGATGGCTTTGCTCCCTGTCAACTTAGGGGAGACGAAATTATGTTGCAGAGTCCCCTTCCCTGTATGGCTCTAGGTTAGAGAGAGAGAAATTTACATGAGATTTGGAAGGGAGAGTGAAACAACAGCTATTTTCCCGCTCTGAGAGTTGGTGGAGCATGTCAAACACTGTGGCAGCTCATAGACAATGTCATTGATCTGACAGCTCACGGGGGGGGGGGGGGGGTTTCCGTGGATCCTCCCACACCTGCTGGAAAGCTCTTCTGGCTCCTCTGAGTCCTGGACTGAGTGAGTGTGCAGCTACAAGCGAAGGCCGCCTGCTTCTCCTGCAGGAAACTCACGTCACGGAGGCTGGGGGCAGCAAGGAAACACCATTTGCCCCTTTTCTGCCAACTTTGCATTCAGCTTTCCTTCCCCGCTACTGGCCTGGTTGATTTCAGGTGCAACATCGGGAGCAAAGGCGACAGCCTTGCACAGACTTCTCTACCGGTGCCTGCAATTTTATGTGGTCCTTATAATCCCTTATTCTATATGGCTCTTAAAAGTTCTGATTCTCCAGAAAAGCCCCAGACTGGTACACGCTTGAGATTTCCAGCAGAGAGGAAACCTCTCATCTTTGGGGTCCTGCGCGAGTCTGCAAGGGCCGCGTTGCAAAGAGAGATGGACAACCTTCCAACAAACAGCAGCCAGATGCGGCCCACGGGCAGGCTCGTGCCCGCTTCTCCGGTCCTGCTTGGAGCCTCAGCCGAGCGTGATGGAGCACTCACGGCCTGAGGGAGCAGTGCCGGGCAGCTAGGTGTAGGAGTGGCGGCAAAGGGCCGTGGGGCTATCAACCAAGCAGCCTGGGGTGGTGCTCCCAAGATTTGGGGCCAGATTCAGCTATGAGGGGGTCAGAGTCACAGCTGCAATGATGTACATGTGAACCGAATCCGAGTGGTGGGGCAAGACGGGAAAACGACAGTAAAGAGTCAAGGGGGTGTCAAGAATGCAGGGAACATGATGGCCCAGGTGGGGCGTCAGGACAGAGTCAGGGGACAGAGGGTATGTGGGTGGGCACCCACGTGTGAAGTGCCGAGGCAGACGTGGGGCTTTGTAGAACTGCGCCCAGCTGGACGGCCCCGGCCCTGCCAGTATTACGGGCACCAGACGATATGCCATGTACTGTGTTCATTGTGTTATATGACATCTCACTTAATTGTCACAAGCCACCACAATACAATCTTCAAGATTTTACCATGCCAGCTCAACAGGTGATGAAGCTGAGCCAGAGAGGCTGAGTACTTGTTCAAGGTCACCTAGGAAAAGAAGCTGAAGGACAGGAATTTGAATTCAGATCTCCTTTTTGTTTTTGGTTTTTGAGACAGAGTCTCACTCTGTTGCCTGGGCTAGAGTGCTGTGGCGTCAGCCTAGCTCACGGCAACCTCAAACTCCTGGGCTCAGGCGATCCTCCTGCCTCAGCCTCCAGAGTAGCTAGGACTACAGGCATGCGCCACCATGCCCGGCTAATATATATATATATATTTAGTTATCCAGCTAATTTCTTTCTATTTTTTTTAGTAGAGACGGGGGTCTCACTCTTGCTCAGGCTGGTCTCGAACTCCTGAGCTCAAGCGATCCGCCCGCCTCGGCCTCCCAGAGTGCTAGGATTACAGGCGTGAGCCACTGCACCAGGCCGAATTCAGATCTCTTTGACCTGACTTCCATTACACCTTCCCAGATCCAAGCTTTCTAGGCTTAAATAAATAAATAAACCTTTGAGTGACCTGATAAATATTTGTAGAATCAAATCTTCCAGCTGCAGTCAAGGCTTCAGTTGCCTGCAACCTCAGGGTAAGCTGCTCTCCAATTCCTGATCCACTAAAACTGTGAGAGGAGAAACATTGACTAAGCCACTAAGTGCTGGGTCATTTGTACTCAACAACTGATAGCTAATACATTTCCCTTAGATGAAGCCAGGAGAATGGGCGCAGAGGGTTGGGTGAAAGGAGGAGGATGTGGCTTTTGCAAAGCCCTAGGAAAGGAAGACAGACAGAGAAAGTAGAAGAAATTATCTCATGGCTAAGGGGATTATGTCAAGACACAGAGGTGGGAAGTTAGGCTGGGAGACAAGCATGTCTTTGCCTCCCGTCCCAGGGCTAAAGTCCTGGAGGTCAAAGTTCTCTGAGATGGGTTGAGGAAACAGTGAAGGTCCTGTCTGGTCTATAGGAGGCGGAGGACCATGACATCTTCAGGGATGTACTGCAACAAGCCCGGGCTCCCAGCTCCCACGTGGCGTGGACAAGACCGAGAAGTTCCCACAAGCCCCCAAGGGAGGCAGAGGAGGTCACTGAGAGTCTGGCTGGGCAGTAGCCAGAGAAGGTTGTCACTGTGGCCATGAGGTTGAGCAACCCAAATGAGGGTCCAATAGGAGTCACCACAAGATGTCAGGAGTACAGGTACCTCCCTGAGAGCTGAGGAGCCTAGTCCGCGGGCGGGACCACTGGGCCCGGTGAAAGTAGAGAGAGAAAGTAGTAGAGGCACACTAATTACAGCCGCCAGCAACAAATGCCAGCAAATCGCCCAGGAGCCAGCAGGAACTCAGGAGTCCCCAAGGCACCGTCCTAGAGAAGAGATACCTGGCGAGGAGAAAAGGAGAGAAAGGATAAAAGGGAAAGTCACCCAAAAGAGAGAGGTTACTGAAAAGATCACTTAAGGTATTTGATCGGACTGAATTCATTTTGTTTCCTCTACTGTCCAGTGGGAGGTGGGGCTGGGGCTTGAGAGGAAAATCATGTAAATTATAGAAAAGGCAAAGCTACAGTTTCCTGGCATTATCTAAAGCAAGTGTAAGTAACTATGTGACTCCAGTTCCGATGCTGGAAAACATACAGTGAAGACTGATAGAGTTTCAAAGCAGGGTTCTGTGCTGGATCTAGAAGGTGAGAACCAGAGGTAACCATGGAAATCCCCCTATCCCTGGTATTTCCCTCTGTTGGTACCTCATCGCAGGACACCCATGTTCCTCCTCCCCCAGCCCCATGACCCTCCACGCTCCAAGGGCTGGTACTGAAAAGATGGCCCTGGCCTTGTCATACCCGTCATTTGGGAATTATTAATGCAACTGTCCGCTCTATTTTAAAGGGTTATCACCACGCCATTGCCCCGATACCAATGCATGTAGCTCAGAGAAACAGCATGCAGGAATGAGAGTCTGGCACATTTGTTCTGTAGGTCAGAAGGTAACCCTTGTTTTATTAAAATGTGTACAGGAGATTGGGATGGGAAACGACCAGACGGTTCTGTGGCCACGTACACAAAAGCCCATGTCACACCCAAGCCCTGGGCTGCCCCGCAGGCAGGCAGTCTGGAACTGCGTTTGGCTGGAGCCCGGAAAGAGGCCTCGTGAAGCCCAGACCTCCCCGGGTCGACCCTGACTCTACAGGAGCCGACCATGACATCGCATCACTGGAAGGCGGGAATGGCCACCAGGTGAGTTGAAGGGGGAGGTTTTCTTTCCTATTCATATAGCCTTCTTTGAAGAAACTCAGTTCTTGCAAGTGCTGCTGTCTTCCAAACGGTTGTCCGGGCAGTCAGAGAGGCAGTGGCCTACCAGAAACTGAGCTCTACTCACCTGCTACTGAGTTCTGTCCCTGCAATCAAAAGCCCTGGCATAGCCAAGTCCGTGGGCAAAATCGCACTTGGGGTCCACACTGCCTGGTGTACCAACACGCGTACAGATGAGTGCACGGAAAATTCGAAAAGCCGCTCGACGCGTCTGAGGCTGACTCACTTCATGTTTCTCTCGATCCAGTCTCTAAAAGGCAGCACCTTGGTGAAGGCTGTGGAGAGGCTGTGGCTGCACGCTTTGTCATAGCTCCAGCTGACCAGTCCTACCAGGTGCCAGCGAGGCTCAGGGGACCCTCGTCCGGGGAAGGACGTGGCCGCGATGCCCCCCGTCTCTGCAGTGCAGATGTCGGAAGGGGCGGTGGGGTCCCGGCTGGCACAGAACATGTTGTCGGTGACACTCACCGGGACGCCGTGGTCCTCATGCTGCTCCTCGCACAGCAGCGAGTCCACCACGCGGACTACCCCTGAGCGCAGCGTGTCGTTCTTGAAGCCGGGACTCCTCACGTCCGCCAGCACGTTCCAGCCGGCCACGGTGATGCGAGACTCCTGGAAGGAGGTGCTGAGGTCCCGGGTGGCGGCCAGGCAGATGGGCTGCACGCGGGTGCTGATGCGGGCCTTGTCCAGGAGCTTCAGGATGGCGATGTCGGCATCGAGCAGGATGGGGTCGTAGTTGGGATACAGAATGATGGCAGAAATCTGCAAACGCAAGGGACGGACAACATTCTGATCTTTCAATGTTGGCAAATAAACGAAAAAATATGTTAGCACCATTAGGCACAAACCCCAGGTTGCAAACTGCCAGTGCAAACTACCAAAAATCTTCCCTGATTTTCCCAACCTTTGCTGGTCATGCTCTTTGATGGGGGCCTGTAGGAGCAGACAACCTTGTGATTTTGTAACAATCTTGTGATACCTTGTGATTTTCTACGTGCATGTTCTATTACCTCAACTGCATTGGGGTGCATTTCCTTGAGGCTTTTTTTATGTCACACTGATCATGACATATTGGTCTGTCTCCCCCACCAGACTGGGGACTGCTCAGAGTAAAACCATGCCTTATTCTTTTTTATATCTATTTGCAGAGAATAGCACGTTGTGGGAGCTTAATGGATGAATGAATGGATGGGTGGATGGATGGACGGATGGACGATGGACAGGCAGATGAGTGGATAAATGGAAGAGAGGGAGGGAGGCAGGGAAAGAGAAGTATATTGTAATCTGGTTGGGAATATTTTGGATAAACCCTCTCTATGTCCTCAAAGCCTACCTAGGACAGTGCTCAAACATAACAAGTGATTAATTTTTTTTTTTCATCCAAGAAATATTTATTGATCATCTACTTTCAGCCAGGCACTGTGCTAGGCTGTGAGGGTCCAATGACAAATCTTAATATCCAGGGAACCAATGGTTTCAGGCAGAGCCAGCCATTGAACAAATAATTTCTCTAATTTTTAATTTGTTATAACTTATGGTATATACCACTTTGAGAAGTTGATGTGTCTTTTACTCTTAGGTAATTAACTTTTAGTGACAGCAATGATAGATATATGCCTCTATCTTATTTTTAATGTAATTAAAGGGGGAAAAAAAGGCTGCACTGACTTTCTAGTGCCCCTGTCTAGTATCTAACAAAATGAAATATTGGGCACTGCTACATGCCAGGCTCTGGGCTGGCTGGCTGCTGACATGCCAAGGGACAGGGCTGGCATAGTCACTGCTCTCCTGTGCTTGGAGTTTGTCGAGCGAGAGCCCTAGTTTCTAAGTCGCAGCCCTCTTACCCGCAAGCTCTGGATGGTCTTCTCATCGCGGTCATCATCCTGGTAGAATTTCCCCAAGACGACTTTGAGGTCTGCTGTCTTGATCACGGTGACCTTCCCCAGCTCAGTCACGCAGTGGGCAGCCACCACCACGGTGCGCTCATTCACCAGGGCGCCGCTGCAGACCAGGAACCAGTCCCCCTTGTGCAGGCTGCCGTCGTGCACCCCGCTGGTCCTCCTGTAGATGGCCACCTGCCACGGCCAGCGCATCCCTTGGGTCTTTGGGGCAGTGGCATTCTCGATTTTCCCACAGACTATGGAGAAAGCACGAGTTTAGTAAGAAAAACTCAGACTTTCCCATTCAAAGGGGAACGTGGCACTCAACCAGGAGGGCACAAATCTGGAAGGGTGGACCTCAGGGGTGTGATGACCACTAAGCCATCTAACCTGGTGGCTTTTTTTTTCTGTCTTTAAATAGTAATCAACCCCCCTTGACATGGTTGGCTATAAAATCTAGAATTAAAATTGGAGGCTTTACAGTCAAATGAATCCTGGGTTTCGATCCCAGGCACTTACTATCAATGGGACTTTGGGATAGTTGCCTAATCTCTTAGAGCCTCAGTTTTCTTGCCTGTAAAACGAGTAGAGTAATAACAATTGTCTTGAGGAGACTGAAGAAGATGACGTATGTAAAGACTCAAAATATCATGACTAATCATAAACATGACCACAATGAACTAAGCCATGCTGTTCTCCTTTCTAAGAGAAGATGGGATGGCAGTTTGGCATGTGCAAGCCCCTATTCCAGATACCTCATCCCTTAATTAATAACAATTACTCAATTAATATGACAGGATGATGAATGTGAGCCCTGGGGCTTAGACAAAGTAGAGAAGATGGCATAACTTGAGGCCCTCTGGCAGCTTTAACCCATTCCTCACTTGGTGTTTAATGACTGCTTTCTCCCTTTTCTCCAAGTAAATATGATAGAGCCATCGACAAGAAAGTATGCCTCTAAAGCGTAAAGAGTCCATTTTTCCTGGGTAGTAAGTTCAAGCTAAAGGAAAGAAGATCTAACTGTGGAACTTCAGACATCACCAAATTAGGGAAAGCATTGGCAACCCCTTCCTTTGGACAAAGAGCCTTTCCTAAAAAAGTCTTCCACGGGGCTAATGTTTTTGCGCAGGCAGCCAAGAAATACGGAAGATGCTCCAGCCCAAGGATGAGACTTGACTCACTAGGGATGCAGGATGGAGCCCGCCCACTCCACTTCCCCGTCCTCAGACATGTCCTCCGGCTGCTGCCCAGGCGGCGGTAGAAGGGTGAGATGCATTCGTACTGGAGCTGCGTGTGCAGGTGTTGGTACCCAGTGGGCAGGTCTCCGAAGGGAAGGGCTGGCTTCTTGGTAGGGGCGCCCTGCAGTTTCTGCTTGCTGAAGGCTGCTGAGTATAGCTGGTGTAATGGAGTCTCCCTGGATCGGGCACATGGGCCCAAAGAAAGAGCAGGGTGAGAGGCGAGAGACAGTCATTGTGGCCCCTTTAGCATCTATGCCAAGCCCCACGCAGATATTTGGTTACAGAAAAATTTAAAAAAATGGCTATCTCCTTCTCTGTCTCTCTCTTTCTCTGTTTCTCTCTCTCTGTCTCTCTCTCACACATACATGAACACACTTACACACTTCATCGCTACCACTGAGCAAATTCTCTTGCACACTTCAATCTTCATTTTATGCCTCCATTTCCATTTTTGGCATGATTCCAACTGCTTAAAATTTTCACCAAAGAGGATAATATCTGGCATAATAGCTGCTATCTGAAGGTACGTCATACATGCGCACACACACACACACGCACACACACACAAAGTAATTGCAACGTTAAACAGAAAAGGGAGTTAATTTGAATGAGAGAAATCCAGGCGTATTTCTTTCTCTAAACATTATCATAATGGGGCAATATTAGGAATTGACTCATACTAAACTGTGTTGATACAGTAGCTTGATTTAGCAATTAGCAGATGCAATTAGCACACCTCAGAGGACAGAACTTTCAGGGCACATAGATTGGGAGAAACATGAAGCCTTGTGTGGAAATGCGAAAAGGGATATTAAATGAGCCCTGAAGTTGAAGGGCTAATGGACCACTGGAGGATTCTTGGGGAAGATGTGCACACATTTTCAGCTTGTGTTTATTTTATATTGGTACATAACGGTTGTCAACTGAAAAGGTGGAATTCCTTTAGGAACCTATGTTTTCATCCCTATTTAATAAACGGAGAGCTGGAGAGTGGAAGCCCAGGGAGGCAAGTGGGAGTGCTCAGGGGCACACAGGAAAGCGAGATGGCACCCAAGACAGCACTGAGCAGTCATGATTTGCACCCCGGTGTCTCTACCACACCAGTTTGATGTCATCATAAAAAATCTATTTCACATATCTGTAAAGTGCTTGGCTCAGAGCAAATATTCCATGCACATTGATTTCATTGAACAAATCCTTAGCTTTTGTTTGTAACCAGGTCTGTCGCTCAGGGAGCTTCTGAACTTGTAAACAAGCCCCTCACTTGGCCTTGGAAGGTCTACACTGCCCTTTGGGGGCTCCTGGGTGAGCCTGGATGCAGGAAATAGTCTTGGCCTCCATGACTGACCACAGCCCACCTTTCAGAAAGATGCTTAAAACCAAGTCGTAGGCCTCCTTTCTCGCCTGCATGAGAAAGGTGGCACCTTGCCCCCTAACCTCCCATTAAGATTGCTTCACCAGTAGGAAGTGATCTTTCCGAACAGCTCCGGGGCTCCTCTGCAAGATGTCTCCTTGAGAAGAACAGGTTGCTTCCCACTTAGTGGAAAGGCCAGCCCAGGGAAATCACAAAGATCAGAAAAGTGGGCAGAATTTGGATTGTACTGCCACTGTTACCTAAGAAATACCTTGCCTTGCCCGAAAAGGGAAAGACAAAACTGGAATGAGATTGTCTGAGGAGGGGTGAGAGACTGATGGGTATCCTGACTTAGGAATAGTCCAGGTCACTTGGTTGGAATCAATTCTAGTCCCTGGGATTCATCGTTACTGTTTATAACAATAGCTTCCACTGACGAGTGATGGCGTGTGCAAGGTGCTTTGCTAAATGTTTTATGTAAGGTTTAAAGACCCTGAAGTCAGATACTGAATTTACATCCTGGCCTTGCCACTTCTTCTAGCAATGTGACCTTGGATAAGTTATTGAACTTCTCTGAGCCTCAGTTTATCCATCTGTAATAAAAATGGTAATACAATCTGTAATAAAATGGTAATAATAATAATAATAATATCGACCTCGGAGGTGTAGTGAGAATTAAATGAACTAATACATGTAAAATACTCAGAAGAGCAACAGACACAAGGCAAACATTGACAATAATAAATAGTAGCTGTTAAAAAATGGTAATAAAGTCTGTAATAAAATGGTAATAATAATAATAATATCGACCTCGGAGGTTGTAGTGAGAAATAAATGAACTAATACATGTAAAATACTCAGAAGAGCAATGGAAACAAAGCAAACATTGACAGTAATAAATAGTAGCTGTTAATGTTGTATTTCATCCTCCACAACAATCTCCAGAGACAGATGCTATGGTTTTCCCTACTTATCAAGAGGAAACTCAGGCTCAGCAAGTTTAGGAACTTGCCCCCAAACACCCCAGCACTAGAGAGAGGCAGACCCAGGCCTTGAACCTTGTTTGTCAACCCAATCCATTCATTCATACTTAACAGAGCACTTACTATGCAGCAGGTGCTATTTTAGGCACTAGAACTTCAGCATGAGCAAAACAGATAACATTCTTGCATTTGTAAATTTTACTTTTTGGGGAGGGTGAGGGAGGTAGCAATTGAACAAATAAAAAATAGGTCTATAAGGCAACAGGTGGAGGGGGTGAAAACAGAAACATAGTAAAGGCCAGAGAACTCTGGGGAAAGGGGGCCCACTCCAGGGTCTGGGTGGAGGTGGGCTTGCTATAAGGGACAGTCAGGTCTCACTGTCAGGCAAAAACTGAGGAGAGAACTGGGAGAAGTGAGGTTTGATATCCAAAGGAAGCAGGTTCCAGAAAGAAGGAGCCACGAGTGTAAGGTTTCCAAAGCAGAACTGTGCCTGGAGTGACAGAGGAACACCAAGGAGTCCCATGTAGCTGGAGTGGGGAGAGCACAGAGGAGGACGCAGGAGAAGAAATGAGTAGAAATGGGCCTATTCTCTCCCCAGCAGGTGGTCCTCGCCTTTGTGTTTCCGGGAGAAAGGTTGGGCATACCCCAGGGCTCACGTCCCTCAGCACGCAGGGCTGCTCATTTGTCCCTAGTTCCTGGGCGCCCCCAGACTACGTCAGCTGATTGGTTACCACCAAGATCATCTTCCTATAAGCACAGCTGGCTGCGTTGAGCAGAAATGCCATCTCCCTAGCAGCTGCCGAGATAAATACGTAGTAATTTCCAGAAAACGCAAGTATTCAAATCCAGTTCCTCAAGGACCATCTGAAAGTCTTGCATCTCACTTACCATCCACTTTCCCACGGCCCAGTGAAATTTGTGCACTCTCCAACAGTTGCTACCTCTTGGCTAGAGGCAGCTGGCTAACGAGCTTTCATCTAACAACCCCTATTCTTTCCTGACTGGTTAGCACTCAATGTCCCGAAGAAACCCTGGACTGCCTTTGGCCAAACA